TCAGCAGGATTACCATCTTAACCGGCACCAAGCATACTTCTGGGATACCCATAAAGCACTGTCACCCACAGTTCTGAGATAGTTCTTTTACAGAAATTACATCTTGTACAACTTTCACAGACTTTTAGTGCTAGAAGTAACCCAGGGATCACCTGTCATCTGACAGATGAAGAGAAGGACACTCAGAGAGGTTAAGTGGCTTGCTGTGGTCACACAGGGAAGTGGCACAACGTGTCAGCCTGCCAGGATGGCTAGGGGGGAATGCCGGCCCAGTACTGACCTCACCAGAAGACGGAGAGAGTATTCAGTTATACGGAGGCTGTTTACTAATCCTGAAACAAATATATATAAATGGAGCCAGTTCATGGAACAGTCTCAACTCCACAGGGGTTCAAATACCTTACAAGTTTTGTTTTCCAGTCAACTCCTCCCAAATGCGCCATGCCCAGTCCCTCCTCCCTGGTGGGCAACAGGCCAATTGACATTTTGGGCAGCCTGCATGACCTCCTGGTCACTCTGAGTTATGAAGAATTCACTTTTTTATAAAACTCCAATATCATTTATGATTCAAACTTTGCCCTTCCCCACCACACGTCAGTCCTGAGGCTTAAAGAAACCCGACGTAGGGTGGCATGGTCCTCCTTGGACGTTGCCCACGCCGAGCTCAACCTCCTTCATGCACTTAGCTGGGCCGGAGGATACAGAAGGACAAGGCCTCTCTCTTACTTGGCAGTGGCTGAATTCTCCCTGCTGGCTGTCACTGCTTCTCAGGGTAACACTAACTTGGTCTCTGATCCTTCTTATAGGAGCTGCCCCGCCCTGGGTTCTACCGTATCTGTGGAGGTTCTCTGGAGGTCTCTGCTGGGGAGGGGTGTCCCTACTGCACAGTCCCTGATGTGAGAAATCTGGCTCTAGCCTGACTTTCCCCAACCCCACCCAGCCTTCCTAGGTAGGACACGTGCACGCCCCTTGGGTGGGATGCAGGGGAGAGTGCACAAGCCCCGCCTCCTGACTGCTCATCCACAGCACATGTATACATCCTTGCCATGCAGAGCAGTCTGCTCTGTGGCCAATCCTCCTCTCTGCCCGGCCATCTCCCTCCAGTTCTCTCTTCCTCAGTTCAGGTTGGTTTATGTGCATCTGCTCCCAGAAGTTCACCTAGGGAGAGAGATACCAGTTTCCCCTTCTGGCTGGTTCCCTCACTTCGGGTGAGCGTTCCTCTTGGAGACCTTCTCCTTAGGCTTGGGCTGCGCGGGGACGCGCCCTCTGCCCTCCCATGGGAAGGGAGGAGAAGCCTCGGTTCTGTCCACAGTGGCTCCGACAATTCTCTGCCCCCCTGGCCGCCCCCAGAACCAATCTGCTGACTCTGTGGACAGGAGGCTGACTGTGCAGGGCAGGATTCACCACCTGTTGGTAAATTCCAAGTAGGGTGTCTGGCTCCCTCATCAGCAGCTCTCTCTTTAGAATGTGCAATACTTAGTACCTACAGGCAGGTTCCTCCTTAGCATCCTGTTACATGAATGTATCTTCCAACAGTCACAGAAGTTACCAGAGAGTTAAGGAGGGAAGAGAGGGTCTTGTGCCATAATTATTTTTATTTAAAAAAATCCATATAAGATTTTCTCAGTGAAGAAATAAAACCCACCTCTAGTCATATACACTGAAGAGAGTTCCCATGTGGCTTATATATCTTTTGAAGGTGTTATAATAACTATTTTTCACTTATAAGGTAATGTTCAAACTTGATAAAGGAAATCCTCTCTCACTTCCAATAACTATGTGCCTCAGTGCAAATGGTAAAAAGTCAGATTTAAAAAACAGAGTTTAAAATAAAGGCAGTTAATTGTATTTTAGTTATGGAGATTGCTTTTTAAAAAGCTGATACATGTCAGACATCACAGTAATTCTGACGGTAGCAAAGACTTTACCAGGTGCGTAAGAGCAGTAGCTTGAGGTAGACCAGCTGTAACTGGTGTCTTCATAACATGAAATGGCTCTTCGTCTAGACACATGGTTACCAGGCTGAGTGTTGGAATGAATTTTTTAAATGCAAAAGAGTTTCCCCTGCAGAATTTCATTACATTTATGAAGATAATACTTCAGGGTACAACATGCATTGAGGTACAGAGTGTTCAAAAGCTTTTAGAAAGAAAACAGCAGTGAGAAAATTTCATCTGGGGCCCAAATTCCTAGAACAGAAGTGATTTAAATCTAAGTTTTAATTAAGCTTTAGAATGTCCTCATGTGTAAAGAAGAATAATAATAGCACTTGGCCTGCTTATTTCATCAGGTTGTCGTGTGGCTCGTGCTAAGCTTCACGTGAGTGGGAACTTTTTCACATCTATGTTTCTAGGACCTGGAATACAGACGCCATCAAACGTATTGACTGAGTGAATGGAATCGCAGAATGTGTTCAATATTTCTTGGCAAATGGTCAAGCACCATAGGAACATTAATTACTGCTCTTCGTTATCACGTTTAGTTGATCTACTTTGTTGTTGCCACTTGTGCCTTCAGTAAACGACATCACTGACAACACACTTCCGGCAAAACGCACCAGAGATTAACCTTGCAGACTTCTTGTTAGAGATGGTCTCGTTTTTCCTGATAAAGGCTGAAAAAGCACCGCTGACTTTGTTGAAGAGAGAGGCACAGGGCTTCCCTGGTGGCGCAGTGGTTGAGAGTCCGCCTGCTGATGCAGGGGACACGGGTTCATGCCCCGGTCTGGGAAGATCCCACATGTCGTGGAGCGGCTGGGCCCGTGAGCCATGGCCGCTCAGCCTGTGCTCCGCAACGGGAGAGGCCACAACAGTGAGAGGCCCGCATACCGCAAAAAAAAAAAAAAGAGAGAGGCACACCTATATGCTAAAGAGCTGCTTGTACGAGCCTGGAAACAATTCTGTAAAAGGATGGTAAACACCCTTTGCAATTTCATTTGCTTATTAATTTTCTCTCAGTTCCTTTTCCTCATACATTGTGAAGCTTAATTTAGTTGATCTGAACTTGAATTACCATGAAATCCAAATGAATGGGGGTTGAGTAAAGGTATAGCGATCTTAGAACTGAGATATCAATAATTTAATGTTTATTTCTTTGGTGATGAAGTTAGCACACTTTTAGAGGTACACAATTTTATCTTGAGTTCAGACCTCTCTCCGGACTCTGGAAATGTTTTCTTAGAATGCAACACACGTATTGCTATTGTTACCATTATGTATCTCAGGTTACCACGAATACAGTTCAGAAAATACCACACATTTGCATTCAAATCTAATAACAAACTAAAAAGCATATTACCTATATCCAAAGTCTTTCTCCTAAAGGTTGAC